AAAAAAAAAAAAAAAAAAAAAAAAGAACTCATGTTTTGCTATTTTATTTGGTGGACGATAACAAAAAGGTGAGACGGAATAGTCGGCGATGTAAACAGAAGATTTAAAGTAGAAAAAAATGATCTTGAAAATTGATCGTTTTGCTTGCATTTCTTTTTAGTCGTCTTATTTGCCTAAACAGAATTATTTGGTCACATAAATATTGCATTTGTTGTGCATATATCCGTTTTTTAATTTGTAATTATGAGGACAGGATTTAGACTTCAGGTGCTCAACGACAATACTTATTGGACAGTGTTATGTTCACTGTTTCTCGTCTCATAGATTAACCTCCTAAAATTGTTGATACATTTGTCCGGTGCTCAAAACAAATGAGCAGTTTTAATTTTGCAACAAAACTGATGAGTATTTAGTTGGTTTTTATCTCCTCATTTTTTTATCCTCTCTTTGCTGTTTTTTACTCTTTCAGAACACTACTTTTTCTGAAAATTTTTTAACGGGAAAAAAGTGGTAATGTTTGTTGTTTTATTTGCCAATAATTAATGGTTGTTGAATACTGTCTAGAGGAATTTTTTTTCTATTATTTACAAAAGCATACGAATAAATAAATATAAAAATCTGATTTTTTTCTCACTAAATATTTGAAAATTAATACATATGTTCAGCCTATGTTCCTTTTTCCTTTAAATGGCAAAAGTTGGTGTTTTAGTTGTAGCTTTGCTTTCTTTTAGATTACCGATCAGATTGCCGGAAAGCCGTTATATTTGTATAATTTTTATTTGTGAAGTCAACAGTTTTTGGCTTTACACGAAAAACAATAGAAATGACCACTGTACAGCTGTTTTTTTTCTGTTTACAGATTTTTCAATAGTTGTTTATATTTTTATTTGTCTGTTGTTCCACCTATAAGTTGTTAAAAAAGTACTTTTAAGTAAACGAAGACTATTTTCACTGCTGAGCTCAAAGCGACAAGCCCCCCGATGTACCATTTGGATTGTACACTTATGGAAAGAAGTTTCGAGTATCAAAAAAAAAAAGAATCAAAGTGAAAATGAAGCGAGCAAAAAGAAAAAAAAAAACAACTGTTAACTTAGTGAGTAGCACAATTTAAGCACATTAGTTTTAGAGTCAAATTTATCTTACTAAAATTTTGCAAGCGATTGTATAGCAAAAATTGCTCATTTTTTGTTCTTCATTTTTTGCAGTAGTTATTAGTGATGTTAAAATAACAGCCATTTTTGAAACTTATTAGCTGACTAACTTTAGTGTCAAATTTTTTAAAGCACTTTTTCTAATAGTCTTTCCCAAACTTATTTTATGGGAAAATTTTACATCTCATACTCATTTGAAAAGTTAACATTGAAAGCTGTAAAGAAATTTTTTTGCTTACGAATAAAAAGGCAAAGAATGTGTTTTCTTTACTATTTTCATAAACTTTTAAATAATTATTACATTTCGTTTTTCAAAATAGCATACAGAATCAACAGATTACTAAAGAAACTAAATTTTATAAGGTATAAAAGAAAGCTGATTCATTTTATGATTTATATGATTGCAATAATCAAATGTTCAGACACTGAAATAGCAGTAGCAAGATTTTATTCGCCTAAAACTTTTATGATTTATAATGAGCCTAAATAATATGAACAGAATTGTTAAATGTTTAATTCAAGCATTTGCACTCCCGAAATCAAGTTGCAGAGCTTATCAATTATCGATCAAAAACAGATCAAAGATTAGCA